TAGGTGTTCTTTTATATGGGCATATACTAGAATTTTCATATTCTTTCTTGTAGGACCGGGTGACTTTTAGAAGAATCATAGTGAAAAACAATGCAAAAAAGAGGAAGACGTTTGAATCATTTATTGAGTCTGTGCCACTCCTTAAATCATTAGAGGTAATGTCTACATAGAAGTTTTTCTGTGAGGATTAGAAACTGTTAAAACTATCATTAGGTTTTCAAATCCTACTATTCTAGCCCACATCTATGTTATATAAATAGATTTTTCAGTACAGCTCTTCCTGATAATTTGTGAGCATATCCATTGTTTTAGGTGTCAGAACGAATGAAGATTGTTGATGTGATAGGAGAAAAGAACTATAAGGATGGAGACCGTATAATCACTCAGGTGAGTATGGTCTCGCAAGCTCCTATGAGTCACTATCTGAATGAAGGCTGTCACTTGTCTCCTTAGACTTCTGTGTCCCCCACTGTTGGGAGCTTGTGTTGCAGAGCAGTGAATCACCTCCAGCAGGGTCCCCTCAGCCCATTGATGTAGGTCTCACTGTGTACGCAGGTTCTTGCTTTCATTCGTGTGTGTGTGTGTGTGTGTGTGTGTGTGTGTGTGTGTGTGTGTGCAAGGCAAGAGCTATACCACTGAATCACGTCCCCAGCCTGTATTTGTTACTTTGGATGTCATTTTGTTTTGAACTTGAGTAAACTTCAGTTATCACGTTAAAGTGTTGAGATCAAACAAAGGGTTGTGCCTGCTATCTCCTCTACCTTTGACATAAAGGCATCCTCTTGGCTAAGGCAACACAAACCAGAGCTCTCAGGGTTCAGTGATTAGATATCTCTATCTGTAAGCTGTCTTTAATATTTCCTTGCATTTTTTCCTCATCCTTTTTGGCTACTGTAAGAATCTACACAGTGAATCAAACCATTGTAATTAGAGTGCTATATAATAGTTTTGCCTGTTGTGTTTGCATTTTTAGTTGTGTGTAAATAGAATTAGGTATTTTCTAGTTATAAGCTTCTTTTCCTGGACTCCTGACAAGGGCGTGAAGAAGTATCTCCTTGTCCTGGGTTAGGTGATCCGACTGTCCTTAAGCACAGAGCTGGGACCAGAATTCCTCAGTTCACTAGGTGAAAGTATAGGTTTCATGCCTGGATCCCTTACACTGATCTTAGAAGTATGTCAGGAGATGTAAGAAGCTAAAGTGCTTTCTGTGATGTCTGTTCTTAGAGATGAAGTGACAGGAATAAAATGATGTTCATCTTACTATGCAGTGTCTTAAGCCAAGGGTTCTTAAAGTGAGGACCCAAGACTAACAGCACAGCATTATCTAGGAATGGCAGAAATTGTTAGAAATACAAATTCTTGGGTCCCACACTAGACATAAATCAGTAACTATGTTTTATGGGGTTTGTTTTGGTCAACTTTGTTATGGCATATTTTGCATGCAATAAAATTACCAGTTTTAACTGTATAATTATAGTTTTATAACCCTCTTCACAACCATGGTATACTGTATTTCCATCACTACAAACAGTACTT